GAGAGCCAGAGCCAGCTGTCAATCAGGCAGCTGGGTGAATCTGAATAATATGGTTGGGATCCTTCAAAAGCCTGGAGCACCTCTGTGACGTCAGCTGATAGCTGGCAATTATTAGTTGACTCTGGGTTACAGGAGAGGAAAAGTAAGTGCACTCCTGTGACCCAGAAGAGAAGTATGGCTTTATTGGATTGTCAGTTCGGTTCACTGCAACAGTGTTGTGATGCAGTACTTTGAAAAAAAGTAGGGCTGACTGACGGTAATATGTAGAAAAGTAAATGGTGTACTTTAAACTGCACAATGACAACAATGGGTGTAGTAATGCAAAGCAGATGGGGCCACAGTCAGAAGTCCCACTAGCACACTGCACTCTGAAAGTAGAGCTATATATTGATTACGGTACGGTGGCCATGGATTACTCATTTTATTTTTCAATCAGTCAACGGTCTGAACGAAAAAAAAGAAATCAAACAAATTCCTGTATTCACACAAGTGAAGTGGATGGAGGAATCCTCTCCACTGGGACATAGTATTCAGACAATGGGACTCTCAGCTGTCAGAATACACTGGTCAGCGGTTGCAGCTGAGCAACAGATAATAATTTTCCTACAAGCTTGTTTGATACAAGTCGATCCAACGATCGACGTCTGTCGAACAGGCATAGTCACACATTGACTGAAATTCAGCCAGTCCCTGCTGAATGTTGATCTATCCATGGCCAGCTTAAGACTCTTGATTTTATGATCAGAAAATAGCCAATAAACCTATCTGCCGTTTATTTTTTCCTTCACATCTCAACCGACAAAAATTGGTCTACTATATACCTCCAGGCCACTTAGGGCAACCACTGCAATTACCAACAAGGAGCAAAGGAACCTAGGATGTTCTCATAGCTCTCAGAGATTCTCCAACATACTAAGGATAGGTGCATTACAAAGGGTGTCTAGAAAAGATTCCCGAGAGGTTATCTGACCATACTTGTAGCTCTGAGAAAATGTGTCATGGGGTTCTACCACAAAGATAGGAACTGAGCCTTACATTACCTGACTAAGGAACCATACCGCAGTCCACATGGTATAAAGAAGAAGTGGAAGGTACTACTGAAGTATTTGTAGTTAGTAGTGTGTGAGAAGCTTTTGTGTCACTGCTGAAATATTGACCATATGCACTTCCATATTACCACTTACTGAAAGATTTATTAAAAACGGCTTAAGGTGTTTATCCAAAATGAAAATGGTGCATTTTGTGTGTTAGAGTAGGGAGGAATTAAAACCCTTGAGAGTTTTTTCTCATCTCTGACCCATTGGAGCGATTTTGTCTTTACTTCCAGTCCAATAAACACAGCAGGAAGTGGGAGGAAATTTCTCCCAAGTGAGGGAATTTTTTTCTTAAGGCAGTAGCCCAGGGATGTGCAATTCCTATCGGCTGACGCCCGAAACATGTAGTTCCGGGCGCCGGGCAGGTAGTATTTTTTGGCCTTAAGCCCTGCTGCGGGCAAGCAGTGGGCTCACTTGTCAGGTGAAGCAATCGGCGGCAGCGCTGCTGCCGATTGCTTTCACACAGTGCCAGCCTCTCCGCGCCCCCCGAGTGAGGTTCCCCAGGCTCCGCTTGTCAATCTGAAGGTCCGGCTCACCGTCGGCTAGGGGTGAAGGAGAAGCCCACAGTGTCAGCCTCTCCCCCACTATATGTCCCAGGCTCCGCTTGCCCATCTGCTGGCCCGAGACTGGTTCGGTGGGTGCCGTGGGATGTGGTATAGGGGAGGGAGGAGAGGGGACATATCTGCTCTGCTCCTTCTCCTGACCCTGGAGGTGATGTGAAGTCGCTTTCCGGTCTCCGTTCGACAGATTCCCGGTCATTGAGGCCGGGAAAGAATGTAATGCAGTGCGATGTGCACCGTATTATATTAAGTGTAGTACAGGGGAGACAGGCAGGGTCTTTTAGACCCTGGATGTCTCAAAAAAGAGAACCGGTCACCAAAAATCATCACATGGGGACTTTTTGTTCCATATGTGATTTAAAAAAAAATTAATAAATGTATTTATTTTTTTGAAAATGGAAGTTACACCCAAGCATATAACACCCCCAAATTTTTCAAGGCCCCCCCCCACCCCCACATATGTATACATGCACAAACGTAAAAGCACATGCTTGGTCGCCTATACTACACATGAAAACGCTGATTGCAATACACATTACATAATGCCGCGCATGCCAGAATGAGAGCCATAATTCTAGCACCAGATCTCCTCTGTAACACTATACTGATTGGGCTTTAAAAGTGTCGCCTATAGAAAATATAGGGTTACTAAAGCTTGTCGCCATTTCACAAGCGCATGAAAATTTAAGGTTTGAAATGCTGGATATCTATTTACCCGCTGCAACCTCGTCTTTTATATTTTACAAAACAATTGGATAATTTATTGCTTTTTGTGCCCTAAAATTAACTTAAGTGTATTTTTTTACTGAAATTTTGTGTTTCCTAGACCTTTGTGATAATATCGTGTGACATGAAAAATTGGAACTGCCGCTATTTTATTCTCTAGGATCTTTGATTTCAGAAAATATATAATGTTTTGGGGGTTTGTGTAATCTTCAGGCCTAAAACAATTTTTTAAACGTGTGCAAATAACGCAAAATCAGCTCAGGCAGTGAAATGGATAAAGGATAAGTCCGACACTCCCCTTTCCTGATGAGTAGCCAATCGGTGCTCTTTACACTGCAAGGTCTCTCCTCTCCCTGCTAGTCCCCGGGGGGCGGGGCTGGAGACAGGCAGGAAGGGGAGGAGGAGATAAACAGAGCAATGTTAAAGATATTAAAACGTTTAAAACACCGATTTAGTCCCTGGACAAGTAGTTTTTTCAAACATTTCCACACCCCTGGTAGTCACAGGAATATTTGGGGGAAAAAAGACATTTACCCACTTCAGTACTAGGCACATTCACCCGTTCCTACCCAGGTCAATTTTCAGCTTTCAGAGCTGTTGCATTTGAATGACAACTGCATGGTCATGCAACATTTTACACATATGAAATTTTTACCATTTTTTTTGGAGGATAGAGCTTTTTTTTGGTGGTATTCAATTACCACTGGGTTTTTAATTTTTTTAATTTTTTGCTAAACTAAAAAAAAAAAAATAAATAAATTGATCGAAAATTTTGAAAAAATAAACCAAAAAACATTTTCTTTGTTTCTGCTATAAAATGTTGCAAAATGTTTTTTTCTTCTTCACTGATGTGCACGGATGAGGCTGCAGTGCCCCGATTATCAGTGTAAAGAAAGCACTGACAACCTTGCCGGGTATTGGCTGTCTCTTCCTCACACAGATGCAGTGTCTGTTTACATGTGATCAGCTGTGAATGGACACAGCTGATCACAGGGTAAAAGGCCGCAATGATTGGTCAGATGCACACCCCTGGCACATTCTGGTAGGATGTCTGTAGATGCCCTCCCAGAACAAGAGCACAGCGCTGTAGCCATCTTTCAGCTATAGGATGGTATTAAGGTGGTTAAAACAAGCCATCACTGACCTCTATAGCTAACTGGACTGTGAAGTAATTAATTCTCAAAAATACTTCATGTCAGATTCAGTCAGTTTTCTAGCAGCCTATAAGCAGCACCTAGTGTGTGTTTACATTAGAAGAGTGAAGAACTGTCATGATTAAAGATTTTAGTGCTTCTAAAAGGTGTTTAGTTTTTTTTTTTGGATAGGTGTTTATTATTATTGTTTTATTATTGTTTGCTTCTCATATGAAGGTTGACGATTAACCCCCTGCTGCCCAAGCCAATTCTGACACACTTCACATACATGTAAAAATCTGCATTTCTTTACTAGATAATTACTTAAAACCCCCACATATAATACATTTTCTGAAAGTGAAGTCCCTGGATAAAAATTTTAGTTTTTGCAGTTTTTTATCTCACGTGATATTTGCGCAGCGGTTGCAGAATGCTAATTTTTTGTAAAAAAAAAATACACTTTAAAGAATTTTAGAGCACACAGACACAATTTAATACCCAATTGTCTGCTAAAACATAAAAGATGATGTTACGTGGAGTAAATAAATCCCTAACATATCATGCTTTAACATTATGTGTGGTCTCTTTATACTTCGATCTTGCTTACTGAAGAGCAACCTGATGATGGATCAGAACATCATTGATACAATGTAGTCACTTTACTATAATTGTTTTTTTGTATGAATATTTCTACACTACATTCTTTACTATCGTATGACCTAATTGCAATCTGTGATGGGTCTATGAAAAAAAAAATCAAACGTTTATTGAACCATAAAAACATATGGTAGTAAAATGGTTATTGACAGCAACATTTAGGAACAAAATACTTATGTTTTAAAATATTTGGTCCCTACAGAATGACTTCACTTCACATCGGTGTTAGCTAGCTCCAAAAAAGGGGAAGGAGGTACACTTTATTTTGTAGTTGAATTTTTTTTTATGCTTGAGATGATTTAACTTTATAAATAAGCAGATAAAACAGAGTGTGATCACTCTAGCTTCGCATCTCATCAAGGCTTACAAGTATAACCAATTGTAGGCTCAAGGCTTCTGTTCGCTCAAGTACAACATAATATACCACACAAACAATTGATATACTATACAAAATTCTTCATAAAAGTACAGCAGGAGGGCAGTCCCGCTAATGTGTTTCAAGCATAACACTTATGGCTGAAATCCGTCAGCAAAACTACTCTATTTATTTACTAATGCATTTTCAGATGACTTATTCCGGGCTTTTGTTAGAATTTCTTTAATAATATGCACTCTCTTGTATCAGCATATACATTGCTCCTCCAATGAATACACCATCTATGTTAATTTTTTTGTTTCTTATTTCTTTCCATCTTCCTTGTTATTTTTTTTTTTCAGTGTACATACTGTATATTATATGCATAACATTAGATTAGAGTATAAAATAAAAAGTCATATTCATAAAATTACTAGTGAGGCAAGATAAATACAAGCATTGCATAAGAACATACCTCTTCCCTTCCTTGAGCAGTTTAATGACTGGTAGACTGGAAAAGAAAGCATATGATATGTTAGTAAATATGTTAAATAGTTATATGCTTTCTCAGGTTTACACAAACAAGCCCTACATGGTATATACTGATATGTGTTGGGAGGATAGAAGGATAGCCCAGCATCAGTCTAAGTAGTAGAGTCCAGGAACACCACCATTTAAAAAGATGACCCTGCAGCACCATCATGTGGTTGAATTGAGTAACTACATTCCGGTTTGGTACAACTAGCCTAAAAATGTGAGATTTTGCATTCTGTAAAAAAGGAGTTAAATTTGTTATTCTCACTTTGCTTAACCACTTGCCCTCCAGAGGATTTACCCCCCTTCCTGACCAGGCCATTTTCTGCATTATGGCGCTGCGTTACTTTAAGTTACTGAAAATTGCGCGGTCATGCAACACTGCACCCAAATTAAATTTATGTCTTTTTATTCCCACAAATAGAGCTATTTGACAATTTTGAGGAAAAAAAACAATATTTTTAAATTTTTGCTAACAAACAAGTCCAGTAAAAAAAAAAAAAAAATTAAAAATTTTTTTATTTTGTCATAAATTTAGGCCGAAACGTATTCTGCTACATGTCTTTGCTAAAAAAAAATCCCAATACAAGTAAATTAACTGGTTTACATGAAAGTTATAACGTTTACAAATGACGGTATATATACTGAGATTTTTTTTATTTTTACTAGTAATTGTGGCAATCAGCGACTTAGAGTGCGACTGAGGAGGGCATTTTGACACTGAGGGGAACTAACTTGGTGTCACTGACATCCTCAGTCATACCAATACAGTGATTAGTGCTAATAACATCCACTGACACTGTACTAATGGCACTGAGCAGGAAGGGGTTAACATGTGGGGCTATCGAAGGGTTAATTGTATGCCGTTTTGGATACTGAGCTGTCTTTGTGCTTCACTTTAAGCACACTGCTTTGCATGGCTGTGCTATGCACAGCAGTGTGCAGGAGTCGACAGGGGAGAGAACTGTTTTGTTTACAAACAGTTCTCCCATCAGAGATGCTCAGCAATCAATGGGCGCCAGCGTGTAATCACCGGCTGGGACCCGGTGATAGATAGCCAAGACAGCAAATGGCGGCGCAGGTAGGGCTCGCGTGCGCCCCCTACCTGGAAAAGCAAAATCACGTATATATACGGAATTTTGAGCAGCCATGCCACCCTGTAACAGTACTTCTGCTATAGGGTGGACGGGAAGCGGTTAATGGATTTTGATTCTTGTATATTAGGCAAATAAATCATCACCTCAAAAACGTTGTCTTAGGTAGAATTTCTTTGGAGGGTTAAAAATACTCTGATCCAAGAGATAAACCAAGTAAATATAAACGTGACACAAATAACATCTATTGACTGACAGCATTATATCCATCAATTCTAATCCTCTCTTTTTTCCTGCTCCTTTATCAGCCACCTGCTACTTGTTTTACTAAAGACAACTGTCTAACAAATGAGAATGGAGAACACAGGACAGAACTTGGAGGAGTCACATTGTTCTGTGCAATGATGGCCTCTACCCTTTGTGCAAATGTAATGACATACTAAGTAGGGATCTGTGGAAAGCCTAAGACCGCTGAGCTATGCAGCCAGCAGACATCTAATCAAGAGATGACACGGAATCTTAGATCTTGCTACAATGTCTGCACACAGTTGATAGGTGTTGATTTACTAAAGACAGACTGTTTACTTTGCAAGGGAAGTTGCACTTTGCAAAGGATTTTTTCCCAAAGCTTAGTGAATGTGGTGAAGCTCTGCTGACTTAAGTCATCCAATCATGTGCAAGCAAAAATTCTTTTTTTTTTCCTTGCAGGTTATTGGGTATTCTTGCAAAGTGAATTTTCACCATTCACTAAGATTTTGGACATTGGATAAGATGCTGTCTTCTGTCGCCTAGGTATGAAAAAATAGCCACCACTACTAAAACATTTCTTCGGATAGGTTCACATTTATGCACTGCATGAATGTGTGCAAGATCACACACGTTCCCTCAATGCACAAAAAACGTGAATCCCTATTGCATGTGCGTGGTTGTGCCATTAATTACTAATGCCACTGCAACACGTTCTGCAAATTTGAGTGCAAAAAGCTCACCAAAACACATGGTATAAAAGTACCATCCGTTTTGGTGTAGCTTTATATGAAAAAAAAAAAAAAAAAAAAAAAAAAAAAAAGAAAGCAGGTGTGTGCACTTTGGTATTAAGTTCACACGCAGGGCAGCCAATTGAAATGTATGGGCTGCCCTAAACGTAATGCACAACAAAAGTGAGCACCTTTGCATCTGCATAGGTGTTAACAGAGCCTTACCGATCCTGCACAAAACATCACACAATTACCTCTCTCCTTCTCTTGACCACACTGGACTTTCAGGAACCTGAGCTTCATAGTATTTAGATGCTCGATAGCAAAAATCACTGCAGAAACACTGAAAACATATTGTTATTATTCACAAACCATACCAAACCCGCAATCTAACAAATTACATTTTCAGAGGAATCCTAAACAACTAAAATACATTTTCTGAAAGAAAACATTATTCCTGATTACTTACATTATTCAAGCCTTAATATTCACAAACTTAAAGTGATTGTAAAGGCAATTTTTTAAAAAAAGAACTTGTCATACTTACCTGCTTTGTGTAATGGTTTGGCAAGGAGCAGCCCTGATCCTCCTCTTCTCAGCTCCCCTGCTGGCACACCTGGCCCCTTGCTCCTGCCAAGTGACTCCACAGCAAGCAGCTTGCTATGGGGACACCCGAGCACGTTTGCTCCCAAGCCACTGCTCTGTGTGACCATTCACATACAGCCATGGCTCGGCCCCGCTCTCTCCTCATTGGCTCACTAGCTCTGATTGACAGCAGAAGGAGCCAATCTTTCAGCCAATGAGGAGGAAGAGACATGGGAGACCCGAGGCTTGGGTGTACATTGCTGGATCGAGAGGGGGCTGAGGTATTAGGGGGGCAGGGAGATCTGCTAAACACAGGTTTTTACCTTAATGCATAGCATGCAGGTTGGTAAAAAACCTTCAGCCTTTATAACCACTTTAAACTTAGTAGTGAGGGGTATAGGGACACTATTTTGTGCTTAAGCCCAGTTCCAAATCGCATGACAAGTCGCACCCTATTTGTGCCTATGGAACCATTAAATCGGTGAGACTCTTTTTGGCGATTTCATGTGACTTGCATAGACATCTGTGCATGAAGTCACACAGATGTCAGGCAAGCCACACATGAAATCGCACAGGCCAGCAGCTTTGAAATCGCACTACTTCACTTGATTTCAAAGTCGCATTCAATGTGAACCACGGCTAAAGGAATGAAACCTTAGGGTTACATTAAGGTTGGGCTTGTGGAAGAATTTATAAAAAAACACTGGAGCAAAATCTGGTACAATTGTGCATGGAAACCAATTAGCTTCAATCTTAAGCCTGTTCAGTTAAGCTTTGGAAATTTAAGTCTTAAGTCAAACGATTGCCATGCACAGCTGCCCCAGACTCTGCCAGCTCCAGTTTTGATAAATTCCTCCAGAAAGAGATAGGATCAAGTAGGCAATCAGGCTCTGCAGCAGGTCATATGTGCTGACAGGGAACATGCTGACAATGCTGTTCTGTGGAGAGAGCCATCCAAGCAGAGGGCTGACCTCATTAGTGTGCTGCTTCTCCTTTACTGTCCAATCATCAATACTCAGTGTGTCCCAGATCTGCTGTAGCTGCAGTGATGTACTCCGTCCTGGCTATGCTGTCTGGCAGCAGTATCCACATAACAAAGCAGGTTGCAAAGGATAACAAATCTTTTATCCGATAAAACACTACCTATATCAGTATTTTGACTGTGTATATAGCAAATTGTCTGGAGCTCAGCTTTAATGCTTAATGGAAAAACACTGAGTATTAATCTAACATGTGGGCATTACCTTTCTTTCTGTGATATCATAAACTTTGTTTGTTCTAGTAGAAATTTTATACTTCTGTTTGGGCACCTATTGGAAACAAAACATTCAAGGTTATAACATTTAAGACACTTAAGTGCCAATAAACAAACATTTTTTGCATCAATCATTCTAACACATCTAATATACTAAAGATCTGTGTTTTATTAAGTCCCTTCTGTTGTTTCCCTGTTTCTTTTTTACCCTTTGCTTGTTCCCAATCCTCCACTGATGCACCTCACATCTGCTAGTATAGCGTGAGCAGTGCTCATTATTTCTGGTGATATGCTCCTCTCTATGCATACTACAATTTGCAAAGCACTGAATGCATCTGCATGTAGATGTGTAGTCTATCTCAGGAGCAAGCAAGGAAGGGTGGCTACGTTCACATACACAAGGGTGGCATGGAGAATGAATGCAGCCACCGTAGAGCCAGAAGTCTGGGAACAGTAGAACAAAAGCTTGGATTTGGGAGATCAAAAAAAGAAAACGGGGATATAAGGTAAATTCAAATTAAACATATTGCTTTTATTTTATAAAAAAATGTAAGTGTATTGTCACTTTAACAAAGTCAGTCCTTTATGAAACAAACATTAGTACCTTTATCTGGCACCCTGCAAAGTATACTTGCATATCTTATTGTCAAGGAACCCCCGCCAGAAGAGAAATATGGAAACCACTAGTGCAGATCTCTGTTTGTCTGTCTTTCATTTTGGTGCTTTGGCTCCAATGCTTGCTGAGTCACTGACCCCATACTAATAAAGAGATGAGGAATTGTGACTTCTGTTCGATTTTCATTGGAACATTTCTTGATTATTACTTATTCTGAAGCCAGGCAGCTAGCAATTTTATTAGGTCAGCAGTGGCAGTCCCCATGTTTCTCTCATTACATGCATTATTTGTTGGTTTTGTTTGACTTATAGAATGTAATTTTTGAAAATGTTAACGTTATATAATGATTTCAATAATAGTTTGTATCTAAGGTATAGAGACATTTATTTTTTATAATAAAAAAAAAACAAAAAACTTTGATACACAGTAAAAATGGATTCTTACATTTTCAAGGCTCTTATTACATATAGGGTATCCACACTGCTTGATAATTGATCTTTCCTCAACTGCGTCCTTATAGTGAGATGGAGAAATATACTGAGCCTGCAAAGTAAAACATAGAGACAACTGAGTATTTACATATTATATATATATAAAAGCCTAAAAATATGTCTTCCTATTATATGAATTCTTATTTTCATTAGAACTACAAAGCAAAACAGCTTTTCAAAAGATAAACATTTCCCAAGACTGAGGCACACTGCACACAACAGTAATTACCATCTTAATTGATTAAAAAGGAACAAATTCATCTGTCGACAGTCAGATTAGTGAGCCCATAGGATATTCATAGCAAGCTCTCTACAAAAAGGATATATTTTCTTGGTTATACAAGGGGTGTTCAAGTCAAACTGGAACTGTTTGAGTTTATATAATAAAAGAAGTGGAAACTGCATTTATTTTTCGACATACTCCCCTGCTACATTTAACTAATGCCTGGAAAGCTTCGGCATAGAAGGATTTGCTAATATGCCTGAACAGTCCTAGGACCGCCTGCTTCACTTCATTAGTACTGAAATGTTGACCACAGAAAGATTCACCTCATGTGCAATTTCACAACAGGTTATGCATCGGTTGTCTAGGATCAGGCGTTCCACGCGCTGAATGTTCACAGATATGACTGATGTGGGTTGGGAACCACCAAGGCCAGGATTGTCAATTGCGGATCTACAGCCATCTTTGAATTGTTTATACCATTCAAATGTGTTACTGTGGCTGAGTGTCTCATCACCAAACTGTGCTTGAAGTAGTCTTCTATAGTTATCCGCTGATTTTACTTCGTTCACAAGAAACTTCATCATCACACACTGTTCCATGCACCCACTTACACTGTTGTCTGCCATCTCGATTAGCAGTCTCTGGACTGGCCCACGACATGTGCGCAGCCTATCAGTAATAAGACATACTTGCCACTTACTACTGCATGTAGTAATGCCACGCTAGCAACCCTTTTTATAACTGTAAAATTAAAAGTCCCGGTTTGACTTGAACACCCCACATACTTTCACTGTCATGTTATAGGAAATACACAGGTATGTTAAAGATGCAAAAGGCATAACTATGCTACAAAAATGTCCTATTTAAAGGGGATGTAAAAGCTATTTTTTTTTTAATTAAAATAATAAACAGGTTTATACGTACCTGCTCTGTTTAATGGTAAAAGTGCAAAGACAAAAGTTTTACATAATTTAAAAAAAATTAAAAATCAGAAGCAGACTGGCTGTAGCCACACATCTTGACACATAGTATTATTATACAGGGTGCAGCAACATAACTTCCTTTTTTGAAATGCGTGCCATTCAGGCTGTAGCGGCCATAGCGGGGCGGGAGTGGTCTCAGGCGACAGGCGTAGTTCTAAAGTTTTTGTTCTCTTCCAGGTCAGTCATCATCATGCGTTGGAACAGTGAGCAGCGTGCATTTGCCGTAGAGGCCTACTTTTCGAACGGGTTTTCTGTGATCGAAACCCAACGCGCCTTCCGACATCGTTTCAATGTAGCCCCGTTGGGCCGTGTCCCGGACCGGAAATCAATTGTTACGTGGGTCACTACGTTCAGACAAACCGCGAGTATGACAAGACGAAGAGCTGGAGTCCCTCGACCCATCAGATCACCTGAGAACATCGAAGCAGTGAGAGCTTCAATCTTGCGATCCCCGCAGCGTTCTGCGCAAACATGCATGCATCTGCCCTTGGACTTTCGGATCGTTCAGTGAGGCGAATTCTTCACGATGACCTTCATTACCATCCGTACAAGTTGGCGATAGTGCAGGAACTCTCCGAACGCGACTTCAATTCTCGGAGGAACGCATGTGAGGCAGTACTAGAAAATGTCCCTGAGGACGCAATTGTTTTTTACAGTGATAAAGCCCATTTTCACTTGACTGGATGCATCAACAAACAGAACATTCGCTACTGGGCCGACACCAATCCTCGAGAATTGCATCAAAGGCCTTTGCATTCATCTAAAGTCACAGTGTGATGTGCAATTGCCTCAGCTGGGATTATTGGTCCCTGGTTCTTTGAAGAAAATGAGGTCACAGTGACAGTGAATTCAGACCGGTATGTGAACATGTTGGAGGAATTTGTTTTTCCACGACTTGATGAATTGGACTTAGGGGACATTTGGTTCCAACAGGACGGAGCAACGGCTCACACTTCAAGAGCATCAATGGCTGTTTTAAGGGAACACTTCCCGGAGCGCCTCATCTCAATAAGGGGCGATTTGGAGTGGCCAGCCCGCTCCCCCGATTTGGCCCCTTGCGACTTTTTTTTGTGGGGTTTTTTGAAATCCCGCGTTTATGTAAACCGTCCAAGGACCCTACAAGACCTGAAGGCCAACATCCGTGCAGAAATTGCCAACATACCCACTGTTATGCTGGTAAGGGTCATGAAAAATGCCAGAAATCGGCTTATTCAGTGTATGGACAATGGGGGGCGTCACCTACCTGATATGATTTTCAAAACTGTGTGAAACAGAATTTTAGATATGTACCTACATTATTAAAGACAATAAAAACAATTCTGATTCATAAAATGGGTTTTATTGCGTGTTGAAAAAAGGAAGTTATGTTGCCGCACCCTGTACAAAAAAAATGTAAAGACACTTACACAGTCTAATAAGAAATCAGCTGTGATTTCGTCGTCTAAGAAGCGTTCAACAATCTGGTGAGCCCTTTCTCAGTTTCAATCTTATGTCTGACAGCACGTTCCAGGGCAGCTCTTCTGTGGGGTTCAATAACAAACATGGTATTGTTATAAATACATTTTACTTACATTGTACACAGCAAGCAAAACTCCTTCCAAAGGAGAGATCTGACCGCTTGCTTGCCATAATTACAAGGCAACAAAAATCCCAATTTATCCAGATAGGTGCTTTTTTTTTTATACGAGATTAAAAAAAAAAAAAAAAAAAGAGAAAAAAAAAAATTCAGACAATACTTTACCTCTTTGCTGCATCCTCACTTGTCAAATCACTGATTGGCACATTACCTATAAAAAAAAATAAATAAAAAAATAAAATGACCAGACAAATGTTAAAGTGGAGTTCCACCTCTAGAAAAAAAAAAATTAAATAAAAGTCAGCAGCTACAAAAACTGTAGCTGCTGACTTTTAAAATACAGACACTTACCTGTCCCTCGGTCCAGTCGTGTGCTCACAACTGCAGGTTTCACCGGCCGTCTTCTCTCCCTGGCGCCAAAATCTTCAGTGTGGGCACCAGGCTGTGACAGTTTGCGGCTTCACAGCCGGGTGCCGATGCACATGTGCGAGAAGAGCTGCGCTTTGTGAATGGCCCCGTAGTCTTCTGGGACCTGTCACATGACCCCGAAGACAATTAGGCGGAGAGAGGGTGGGAGGAGAACTTCTGCTTCAGGTTGCCTAGGCGATCACAGCAGATGCGGGAGCAGGTACCTGTCAAATTCAGATACCTGCTCCCCTCTCACTCCCCAAAGGTGCCAATCCTTAATGGGGAGCGGGGGACAAAGGCTTAAAGTGGAACTTCCCTTTTTGGGTGGAACTATACTTTAAGATAACAATAAGCAACTAACCAACTACATTTTCACCATAAAAGGAACCTGCCAAGCCTGTTTACCGCCAGTAAAGCCAAATTTTCAACTAATGAGACTAAAAGGTCTGTATGCAAGTTGGTAATATGAGTTCTGTAATACAACCGAAGAAATAAGGGGAGAGAGTGGAACTAGGACAGAGAGAGCAATGTCTCCTTTTGAGTAATATGTTTGGATGATTCAGATTACATGTAACTGTTTAATTTGCTTTTAATGTTTTAATAAAAATAATGGGTATGAAAAGCACTATGATTGCTGTTTGTGTTTCATCTGGAGAGTCACACTGCTTACATTGCTACCTGTGAATCGTTAAGAGGTTTTACTAACCACTTCAGGGGAACAGCGCTGATAGACCTACTCAGAAATAAGAGGTCCAACATATCAGGCGAGCACGCAATCTGTGTGTTGGGTTGGTACAAGAGGTGGAAAATCATTTGTTGAAGTGTTAAGGTAGCTGTACACTGGAAAGATTTTGGGATCACAGAAGTGTTCTCTTGGACTTGATTTATGCTGTATATATATCAAAGTGGTTGTATACACTTACATTTATCTAGTGAAGTGACTGGCCTCAGGTGATATACAGAGCTGAAACAAATACTCCTACATAAGTTGTACCTGTGTATTTGCAGCCTTCTCTACATTTGTTCAAAGTCCAGAATTTTTAAAGCTTGTCTGAGAGTTCAGAAAAAAATGGGTCAGAGATCTGAAGTTACACTCTGAAGAGCTCAGTGAGGAGAGCTCTGAGAGCTGATTGGAGGGAAGAGACCCCCCCCCCTTTCAAACAGAACACAGGAACAGAGCTGAGGCTGTAAGTCTGCTGGAGGTCCCTCACTGTCACCTTTTTTCTCTTGGTGTCAGGAAAACTTGACAGAAGTGACTCATTCAGATAGCAGAGGAATAAGGCAGCAGACAGAAATTACACTTAGTGCTCTTAACTGAGACCATTACACACTATAGAGGGATATGCTTTTTTTCATATTTGTGAGGTTTACAGCCACTTTAACAGAGAACACCACTGTGTTACTGGACCGGTTAAGTTTGCATTATTCTTTATTATACACTAGATGCTGTGATTTTTTTTTTGTTCTGACATTTCTGACACACATGCATGGCCAGTTCTGATCTTATGAGCAGTTATCACGAACGCTTTTTATACATGTGGATGAATAATAATATGGGATAAGTGGGAGCACTGAACTGTAATAAGTGAATTGTATTTTATTTAAATCCCTATTTAGTTGATATTCCGTTTCTTACTCCCTCACCATTTTTTTTTTTTCGGGAGCCTAGGCGAGCAGAGCAGAAGTTTGGGTCCCTATCCTCCCATGTCACAGGAGGCTGCAAGACCATTCAGAAAGCACAGCAGGAAGTCACAGCTGTTTTCCCACGGTAAGCATGGCAGTGCTGAGGACCCAAAGAAGAACCAGCCCAGGTGAAGACAGTGCTGAAACCCTGGGCTAGTGAGTGTCTGTATATTAAAAGTCAGCCACTACAGTATTTGTAGTGGCTGACTTTTATTTTTTTTAACAAGACTAGAACTCCTCTTAAAGAGAATCTTCAGTCAGTTTTAAAAAAATTACAAAGTCAGAAGCTACAAATCCTGCAGATGCTGATTTTTAATAAAGAGATGCTCACAAGTCCATGGATCCTGCTCTGTCCTCACATGGGCTGGTTCTTTCTGGTCCCTGGTGCTGCCTTGTTTACTGTAGGGAGCCATGCTGCGCTCTGTGAACACTCCTACAATCTCCTGGGACCTGAGATGTGCCCCAGGAGGTTGCAAGCAGGGAGCGAGGGGGGAGAACCTCTGTTGGGTTCACCTAGTGCAGGGGTAGGCAACCTGAGAGCCGCAGGACTACAAGTTCCATCATGCCTCTGCAAGTCATAGCTGTAACTGTCAGTTTTGTAATCTTTGCAATGCCTCATGGGAAATGTAGGTTGCCTACCCCTTACCTAGTGGAAGCAGGTACCTGCCAAAAGTGGAAAAGGAGGGGAGGAGAAGAATCAGCAGAACTCCCTTTTTAATGTGAAGTTCCACTTTAATGTGCAAATGACATAACGGTGCTGGCCTGCTGTAGTCTATAATTTTACATGGTCTTGGGGCTTTATGGGTCTGGAAGCTCCAGCAGCACAGGAAGTTCTTTTACTTGGCTTGGGGGGGGGGGGGGGACATGCTATGTCAGGTTAAAGGGGTAAACAGGACAAGTGCACTCCTCTGTAGCAGTCGGCACCACTCCAGCGATTGGCACCATCTTCCAGGTCCTATACCATCCAATCCATACCTGGAGTTCAGCTTTAAACTCTTCAGATCACTGCGTTGTGCCACAACCATGCCAAATGTGCACCACTTTCAGTTGTACCCCACCTCCACTGATTTCCCTATATCCCCAAGTAGGGTTCTGACCTGTCCACACTCCATCCTAAACTAAGAAAAGAAGTTGTGGCCTTAGTACTATGGCCGCCTCACAAAGAGCACTGCCATTAATCAGAAGTAAACAATAAAGGGCCATGCTGCTCCCATGCACGCCAAGGTTCTGTACTGTACGGTGCACTAACAAGTCCAGCAGCAGCACAGGCCGGGAGAAGACTTACAGGGAAGTGTAGAGGTACGCCTGTTCAATGCCCCGCCAACAATAAGATACCCCGAGTACATTGCGAACCTCTCACCTGGACTCTTTCTGGGAGCCTTCCGAGCTTTCCCCGAGCTTCTCCTCTCCGCCATGGCTCTCACACAACTGTATTGGACTTCCGTGCCTCTGCGTTCCAAGTCTCCATGCACCGGCCGTGACATGCGCAGTAGACCGGGCTAAGCGTTCCAAGCCTCGTATGTGCAGCAGGAAGCAGATGGAGAGGTGGAACGCAAAGCGCTCCAGGGTGATACCCAGCCTGTGCTGCATGTGCTGTGACAGTGCTGCTTGTGTCCGAGGAGAGGCGTCCAGTACAATCGCCATCATTTCCATGTGTGCGGGGAATAGGAGGGAGCAGAGCTTTGTTGTCTGACTTGCACCATGCATGGTGAGGAGTGCAGCCATCTCTACTGATAGGAAAGGTAATTGTGGGTTAAGCTTGTCATTCCTTTTCCTGTGATCTTCTCAGGACATATTGGGGTTTATTTACTAAAGCTGGAGAGTCCAAAATCAGACTCCCTTCTGCATAGAAACCAATCAGCTTCCAGGTTTCATTGCCAAAGCTTCATTGAACAAGCTGAGGTTAGAAGCTGATTGGTTTCTATGCAGAAGGGAGTCTGATTTTGGACTCTCCAGCTTTAGTAAATAAACCCCATTGTGATAATAAGGAGGAGACACGAAATGAATGACTTTTAGTTTGCGGATACAATGTGTATCATAAAGTATTTCCAGTGCTGCTGATCACCTGCAGCCTCTTGACATACATGTGCTCCCTGGCATTTCTCATGGTAGGTGTTCTGATGGCGACAACCATGGAGGAGCTCAGTCTGAACACATCTAAACTATCCCGCCAGGAAGCTGACACTGTGAGCAGCCAATCATAGGCAGCGAGGACATCCCCCGCCCTGCAGGCACACATATCCACACCCCTTGTGGATACAGCTGCGGGGTGGAGAATGTCCTCGCTGCTTGGGATTGGCTGTCCATAGTGTCAGCTTCCTGGCGGGATAGTTTAGATGGGTTCAGACTTATGTCCAGACACGCCTGAGCTCATCCCTGGTGACATCAGTGGTCCATGCCTGTCCCATGTGTGCTGTAGTCTCCATCAGAAAATGGTGGGACAGGGTCATCCTATAACAACAAGTGCTTGTTCAAGGATGGGGAATGGTAAGGCTGCTTGCTATGGGGGCACTCATTCAGGCTTGCTCCTGAGCTGTGGTCTGTATGTCCATTTGCAGCTCCCCCCCCCTCTCTCCTCATTGGCTTACTGGCTGTGCTTGCCATTTGTCAGTTGTATCTAAGCCAATGAGGCAAGAGAGACCAAGGAGAGACAATGGTCTTGTGCACATCGCTGGTTCAAGATCGGGCTCAGGTAAGTATTGGGAGGGGAGGGGAACTGGTTGCAGAAGGTTTTTTAACTTGAATACATAGAATGCATTAAGGTAAAAAACCTTGAGACTTTAGAAACACTGTAATCTGTCATTAAATTAGTACAGGCCTTGAAATTTCCACTCGCCTGCTCGCATTTCGCGAGTGGAAATAACATGGGGGGGGGGGGGTGAGGGCCAGATTGATCAAACAGCCGATGGATATGGAGCGGAGTGATGGCACCAAAGGCAGAATAAGCTTTCAGGCATTTAGGCACTCACACACTACCCAAGGGCCCAGGGTCCTTAGGAGGTCCTATGACAGGATCCTGAAAGGATGGGGAGGGCCGCAGGGTGGATTGTGCAAGCGTGCTACGAGTCTGGTCCGGTGAGAGGAGAGAGTGACTGACAGAGCCCAAGGAGGAGGAGAATCCACAGACTGGTGAGAACTCAGCATGTAACAGTGGGAGGAAGGGGGTGAAATGTCTGTAACAGGAGTGCTGAGAAACGGAGTGTGACAGGCTGAGAGAGCCAGAGGGGAGACGTGTGTGTGTGTGTATCTGTGTATATGTGTGTTAGTGTGTGTGTGCTTGTTTGTCTGTGTGTATGTGTACCTCAAATTATGGGGGATGGTGCCTTAATTGTGAGTAGCAGAAATACCAATCACCCCCTTTTTTGCCCCCCCTTCCCCCCCCCCCCCTCTTTTTCTCTCACCCCCTTCTCTCTCACCCCCCTTTTTCTTTTTTTTTTTTTAAAAGGGGATAGAGGACATGGTTATGGGGGGGGGGGAGGTGGAGGAGGGTATATATTAATTGCTGTAACTATTCTGGATAAAACATTTAACAGTGTCATTTAATGAGATAATTTACAAGGGCATGTTTAGGGGAGGGATTAGGGGCGTGGCAGGGTAGCAGTTAGGTGGAGCAACTGGTGGTAAGTAACTCCTAAGGCCTGGCTAGTAGCTCAGGACTTGAAATTTTGTTCCCTGAATTAGTATATGGGAGGTAGAAACTAATGAAACATACCACAAACATGCTGGAGCTGTGCATGTTATACACCTGACCAGAGGTATCTTATGCAGGCCATACATGGGTCGAATTCCGAAAAAATTTTCTTTGGAAAATTGGAAATTTTTGTGCGTTTTGTAACCCAATGGTGCCCCCATTGGTTTCAAAATTTGACCAGCCAAGCCTTCAATTTCACATGTTGCTACAGAAAAGAAATTTTGTGGCCAGGAATTTTCTTTTCTTTCCAGGTCACAGCTCATTCTCATTTTTTTTTGGTTATAGTTCTTGCACGATTCTCCCATCATTGATCAGAAATTTGTTCGGTTTTCCAAAAATTTCCAACATACCTGATCACTCAAATTTGATGCTCTCACAAAAATCGGCTGTTTCTGTGGCCCACTAATGATGTGAAATTTGAATGAAAATTCTTAGAAAAGATTTTCGAAATTCGACCCATGTATGGCCGACCCATGTTAAGGCTGGCCATACATTATACAATTTTCTGTCCAATTTCCTTTAGATTTACCCTCAACTACGTAGTGCAAGGGCCTGCCTAATTGGATACAGTTGAAAGTGTTGTTTAGGTTTGACCAACTATTATATGGTTTTTGGTAAATCTGAAGCAAAATTCTCAAGAAAATTGTTTAATGTATGGCCAGCCTTATACTTCCCGTTAAGAGTCTGTAAAAATGCCTGTGGCTGGAGAATAATTCCTATCAGAGTGTCAGGAGTATTGTGATAGCTATATTCCCAGCACTCAGTGGAACTGTCAAATGTGAATAAAAGAGAAGAGTCAATGGGCCGCCTGGCAGTACTAGGGTCGTTGGTTCGAATCCCAGCCACGGCACCTCCTGGCTGGAGTTTGTATATTCTCCCTGTGCCTGCGTGGGTTTTCTCCGGGTACTCCGGTTTCCTCCCATACTCCAAAGACATGCTGGTAGGTTAATTGGCTCCTGTCTAAATTAGCCCTAGTATGTGTATGTATGAATGTGAGTTAGGGACCTTAGATTGTACTCCCCTTGAGGGTTAGGGACTGATGTGAATGTAAAATATATATGTAAAGTGCTGCGTAAATTGATGGCGCTATATAAGTACCTGAAATAAATAAATAAAATGAGGTGATATACACCTTGTTGGAATGAACTCATTGCAAATCAGCACATAATTCTTCTTTAAAGCTCCACTCCAAAATCGTTCTTTTATTTTTGGATAGAGTGAGGAAAGTCATATGCATCCAACCTAAATTGCAGGTGTATTTCCATGTCCAGACACAGCTGCAGCACACAACCATGCATAGTAATAAATGGCCATATGCAAGTATACACCATTGTTAAAGCGGAGTTCCACTCAACCTATCAAAAAATAAGAGTCAGCAGCTACAAAAACTGTAGCTGCTGACTCTTAAAAAACAGCCCACTTACCTGTCCCTCGGTCCCGTGGTGTGTCCCCCGCAGCTCTTTTCACCAGCCGTCCTGTATTCCAGGAGGCCGGCATCTTCACTGTGGGCACCCGGCTGTGATAGATTGTGGCTTCACAGCCGGGTACCCACTGCGCATGTGCAAGGAGCGCTGCACTTCGTAAATGTTCCTGTAGTCTTCTGGGACCTGTCACGTGTCCCAAAAGACTACAGGGAGGGAGGACACCTTCCGTTTCCGATCGCCTAGGCGATTGGACCGGAAGTGGGATCGGGTACCTGTCAAATTCAATGGTGCCAATCCTTAATGGGGAGCAGGGGAGCAGTCCTTAAAGCGGAGCTTCCCCTTTTGTGTGGAGCTCTGCTTTAAAGTTAAAAGCAATCTGTATATACTGCGAAAAATATGTTAATCCCTGCTGTGCACAGGGAGAGAAAACACGCACACAGAATCGTTGCAAGAATGATCTCTTTTCTATTGTGAATGTTACAACAGCGTTAGTACAGCTTAGACATAGGAATTGGATCACGTTAGTCGGTTGGACAATACACTTCTATGTCTCAGTAGGCAATCAAGGTCACAGCTGGCTATATGCCTAGGAATAATGTTCGCTCAGTTTTTCTCATGAGAATACAGCTGAACAAAAATAATTTTTAAGAACCCTATGGGTATAATAAATATAAAATAAAGTCTCTCAAGCATAGCTCTGAGCGAGGCAACTTGCTCACAATGCTTGCCTAAACTCACACACAGTGCAAATCACGGCTATTATGTGTCCAGGGATTTACACCCCTGTGCATGTGTGACGTTATGCAAGCATTGTGTACACCGTGTTCCAAATTATTATGCAAATTATATTTTTCTCATTTATCTAAATAATTGATGTAAATAACAGTCAGCATAATTCTCATGTTATCAACTATAAGTTATTAAGAGTACAATTCAAATTTTATTGAACAAACCTAATGATAACAGTATTTTTTTTAAACTTAAAAAACTTACAATGCACTGTTCCAAATTATTACGCACAGTAAGTTTCAAAACACTTTATAGGTTGTAAAGAACTGAAAATTGTCATTTGTTGTATTTGCAGCATATTTAGTGAAATCAAAAGCTATTTCAATCAAACTTTTAACAAAATTTTAACTTTTTAAATCTTGCATCCATTGAACTTGTGAGTTTTTGGACAGTTTCTGCTTGAATTTGTTTGCCAGATGTCAGAATAGCCTCCCAGAGCTGCTGTTTCGATGTAAACTGCCTCCCATCCTCATAGATCTTTTGCTTGAGGATGCTCCAAAGGTTCTCAATA